CTCAAAGGAGTTTCGTGTTTTTGGGGTGGGGAGCAGAGATGAGAAGGGTGGGCTGACAAAATGCAATATCTGACTTGCTTTATTCCCTCGTTATTTCAAACTCAGCACCAATCGGTAGATGATCACTTGGGTGGTAATAGTTTGGTAAGCCACCAAGAACATTAGGCGAGTTTGCTTCAGGAAGTTCAAGGAAACTGAGTGGTTTTATTTGGCCGTCAGGGACAAAGAATATATAATCGAGCGTATTGGTGAAGTCAGGCGTGCAGTTTGTGAACGGTGGTTCTCCCCTTGTACTACCATAGACACTGCACAGCGGAATAGGAAGCTCATCCAAACATTCCGCTAGTGAAGCTGATGAAGATTTGCCAGATACAAGGTACTCGTAAACCTAAAATAAGAACGCAAGTATGGTAAGTAATTAAGATTGTGTAGAGATACCAAATTTTTTACTTGTTTGACGTATCCCATAGATTTTAAATGAAAAATGTCACTTCATGGATCGTGACAAGCACTACGACTATTTCACAGAAGGACAGTAAAGCACAAACCTTATCCCCTGGGATTGAATTGAAGTCGCCAGCAAGAATTACTGAAGGCATGCATTCATATTTTTCAGAAACTAGTTCCTTGAATTGAGCTACGCGTGATAGAAGATATTTAGCTTGAGCAAGCTTGACATCAGCCCATTCTGGGTCCCTGAAAGAAATCACTGGTATGTACCATAAATAAAATACATACTCCAGGAAACCAAGATATAAACACATGACACTCCTGCAGGAAATCGCCATGCAAAAGATTAAAACAGACCTATTTACCAGTAAATGTGAGTGTTTGCCACAATAACATGATGGAGAGTATCCTTGAGTCTAAAAGCAGCCATAATTCCCACACAGTCTCGTTTTAATCTTACACGAGGATCATTAGGATCTCCACGATCTTCAAGAGTACTTTTTGATGATGAACCTAAAGACAGATCATTAAAGAAGCAATCAAAGCCTCCCCCAGATGATTCATTGTGTTCACAATAACCACCCCACCCCCCTTGAGGTGAAAACAGAACGTCAAGATGTACCCCATTTTTCTTTTGCAAGAATTTCTTAGTTTTCATTAACTTTAAACTAAACAATGACGAAGTAATGATGAATCACTCAGTAAAACCAGTACCCAGAAGAGGGGAAAAACCACTCTTAACATATATGGTTTTCACACTGCCAAGTATGTAGGACATGCATACAGAATGTTGAAAGTACAGGAAGAAAGAGGGAAAAGGATAATGAGTAACAGCCTGAAACATTACCATTCTTTGGTTCACTATTTTCATCTCCATTTGCCCGGGTATCACTGTGTTTATCGTCACATAGAATTGACTCATCTTGAATTGAATCAGCAAGATCATTGTACTCTATTCTTTCCTCTAGCAGCAAATCTGCGCTGAAAACAGGGAACAGGAAGGTTAAATGGATGCATGACCTAAATTGTTGAAAGTGTAATATGACCATGTGACTTTAAAAAAGTTGATGATTTCAATGGATGAATTGTTATGTAAACTTGAAATCACAGCAGTCCACGACACAAGATAATGTAAAAGATGCAAAGAAGTGATATATCAGTAAAGCATATTTCAGCTTCCTTGCAAAATGAGGGGGGAAATCTTCCATCATGTTCCAAAAGCTTCTGTATTTGATTGCATCCACTGAAAATTAATAGTAAAGGAACCTTTGCCATGGGCCACAAACCAAAGACTTCCTAAGTGGATAATAACTAGGATTCGCTGATTTAAAACATTGAATAAAATTGATGGTGCTGCCAAGATGAAAGTGGATAGAGGATAAAAGGGAAAGCCATAACAGCTACAATATGTAAATCAGAGACAATTCCACATAATGCTCAGTTTAAAAATAAAAATAAAAATAAACTAACAATATATTTAGTTTTAGGATTGAGGTTCATTTGAAATAATATTTTACGTTTAAACTGTACACCATAATGCTTAAAGGCTTGTTATACTTGCAACATTGGAGTATTGGTTTGTTTGAAATTAGTTTTATAACTAAATTATAGATAACATTGCCTTTTTCTACTTAAAAGAATCCTTGATATTACGCAAATAATGTCATCAGGAATCTAAAGTCAAATATTTGGACTCCAAAAGGAAGGAAAAAAAAAAAGAAGAAGATACAGCATACCAGTCGGGCTTATAAAAAATTCCACAGCCATCACGCTTCTGCCCACTTCTCTGAATATAAATACTGGAATAACCATAACTTTCAATATTTTTCTTGTAAAAGCTATCATACTCATCCAATTCCTGGCAAGGTTTATTATATGAATCAGACAAGAAGAATTCAAAGTGCATGTCTATTACTGCATGTATAAACTTGCAAATTCAAAGTGCATGTCTATATGTATAAACTTGCAAGAAACTTGCAAATTCAAAGTGCATGTCTATACTGCATGTATAAACTTGCAAACGCTAAATATCTAAAGAACACAAATAAGAAATAATAAAGAACATGGGTAAATTCTGGCTTTCCATGTTATGAGAGGGGATGGATTTGTTTCTCAAAACAGAGAACCAAAAAACCACCTGTAGGCAGAGGAAGTCAGTCCCAAGGTTCTTGAGAACAGTTAAAATTGCCTGGGAGCGTGCTTTCCACCTGTTTAAAACAATAATGAAAAATGAAAACCAGCTGAATTAATTCAGATGTTGAAATATCTGTAACGACTTAATAGCCTCTACAGGATGAATAAGTGCAATTCATATTTTCTGCCGATTCTAAAGCTTCTTGGTGTACTTTTCATAAGATGTATTCCCTGTTATTAATGAGATTGATTCAACAAATCCTTTAACATGGGTAATGATGGATTTTCTACTTTGAGTTTGAAAGGGGGAACATAAGTGTTATCAGGTTAGCTGGGAGGCTTATTGTAATCCTAGGACAAAGATAGGTGTAGTAAGGAAATAGTAATAGTTTCCCTTAGAATCTGATTCCCTCAGGCCTAAGATGATTCATAATATGGTCCAAGGCCAATGGCCGAGATGCCCTGGTTTGAGTTAATGTTACTCATGTGAGTCCTTAGAAGTTCATAACACAAGTATCTACCCGTTAACTTTTATAATCTCTCCTCTTATTAAGTATATATAGGGTAGCAGGTGGCTCTCTCCTCTTATTAAGTATATATAGGGTAGCAGCTTGAGAAGAAGCTATTGAGAGTGCATAACTCTTTTCCTATTGCCAAGATATAAAGGGGGGGGATTTACGACAAGGTCTGTCAAAAACCTGAACGCTATTATATATGTGCAAAACTTAAAGGCTTATCAATAAGGGATAAAATATTTACTTGAGACAAGGAGACGGAGAGTGTGGGAAAATAGAACTCTTCACATAAGCCTAAAGAAAAGGAACGCAATTTGAAGATGTTAGAATCAGAGCTACAAATAATGAGCATACAAGCAGCAAAGTTCCAAATTCCCCAATCATTATGCACTGAAGAATTTCATCCTCTAGACAAAACATCAAGGACATAAACCATGCACAGTAGCCACAATCAGAACAAGTATATCATACTAGTTTTGGAACTTTTCAGAACATGGAATTAGGGAATTTGTTTGACTAAATGCTGCAATAGAAGGATGTGTGTGTGAGAATGCTGCAATAGAATCAGGGAAGTTGTTTGGCTAAATGCTGCAATAGAAGGTTGCATGTGTGTGCTCGAGCATGCAATCCAATGATCATAATTGCATTCCTAAATCATGTGTATGATTGTTGCATATATTTCATCATTTGGAAACAACCCCTTTTTAAGATTAATGTAAACATCTATAGATGTGGTTATATCCTTTAATGTATTGTGGTAGCTATTAAAAATTTTCGTGGCTACGTTTTCCGACACTAAAAACTGATATGAGCCAGAAAAGAAACAGCAAGCACATGTTCAAGATTCCACTGAATAAATCAGCACAAACACACAATGAAGAAAACAACAAAAAAACAGACATCAGATTCAGATACTTTCTACATTTACATATGCAAAAAATAATACAAGAAAGAAAAATGTCTGAAATACCATACTAACAATTAAATGAAAATAAATATTTGTACGAAATGGGAAATAAACCCATTAACACCTATTGAGTGTTAAAAAGTTAAATCATTCATACCTGAGCCAAAATGTTATAGGAGACAAGACTGAATCTAAGACCTGAAATATCATCAATAAAATGCATTAACAACGTAAGGCATTGTAGAAACGAAGAAACAAAAAATGCTGCAAAAGAATAAATAATACAGTAAGAACTTATTACCATCAGGTTTACTTCTGGAGTACATGTCATCTCCCTCAACAGAAATAAATTTTGGGCATGTCGGTGATTGTTTTGTTGTGCTCATTTTGCTCGAACAAATTCTACAACTGCTAGAAAAAATAAAACCCCGATTAGAATTAAATCAGATATAATCATTGAAAATCCTGAGAACCAAAGAAAGCTTCGCTAGTGAGAGAGAAAGAGATATGCACCTGGTGGATATAGGTGGAATGGGTAGGCGGGTAAGTGATGAGAGGGATTTTAGCATGGTTAAGTTCAGTTATAGATAGTGGATATAGGTGGAATGGGTAGGCGGGTAGGTGATAAGACGGATTTTAGCATGGTTAAGTTCAATTTAACGCACACAGGGTGTTTGTTTTATTGCTTAGAGAAAATGAAAAGTTGTGAGGCACTTACTGGAGGTGAGACTCTGCCTAATGAAAATAGAAACCCAGAGCGATTTATCCGGGCTAATAGAAGCATTAGAGTCTGGACCTTGGCCCAAACATGCATGGTGGAAGCTAAAGGATTTCAATTTTGGGAGTCCATTTTGAAGGTTGTATTCTGATTGTTTTCAAGTGTTTTTGTATTTTTAAGAAATTATTTTTTATATTAGTGTATTAAAATAATTTTAAAACAAAAAATTTAAATTTTTTAAAAAATATTTTTAAAATATAAAAACAAATAGTAGCTTCATGGTTGCTGGTTACTGTGTGAACCCTAAAAGGAGACTCCGGAAGTCTTGCACAGCACGATGCTGACATGCCATGTCTATCCACTCCGCGACTTAGCTTCCACTTCCACGCCAGTAAACTGCAAATGAGTTTCCCATTAGAATTCTTGCAATGACTCCATTCATATTCCCGCGCCTATCTATTTTCGTTAATTTGTTTCGTAATTTCCTTTCGGTGGACGAAATTTTCTGTCAATTTTATATCAATTTTTCAATACGTGCGCGAAGAGCTCGCCATGATGTGCCAATAATTCTTTGTTTTCTGTTTTTTTTATAATTTGTTGTTAATTTACAGGGATTCCATCTCAATTTCCTTAATATATATATAATTTACAGGGATTCCATCTCAATTTCCTTTATACACACACGCACACACAGTTCTTTTGCTGCTATTTTTAAGCTAGTTTTCATATGCTGAGATGAATTCTTATTGAAAAATTATTTTAATAATAATCTTATTTGTATCAGCTAGATATTATTCTTAAGCTAGTCAGCTTTTTTATATCAAAATCACGTCATTTTCTCATAATTTATCAAAAATAAATAAATACAAGGTTCCATTTCCATGAATATATGCATAAAATTTACAAGACTTTGCGGTTCCAAGACCAAGAAATGAATGGGTAGAAATTTCTCCAATTCTTCATATAATTAATTTGATAGTGAACATTTTGATAGAATATAAAAAATAAAAGTCAAAAGTCTTTGACAAAAAAATATTTTTATCTAAAATAAAAGGAAAATGTTTTTTTCTGAAAACAAAGTAAGGTTTTTTTTACTAAAAAGTGTTTTTTAAATCTTATTTTTTATAATAAACAAAAACAATGAAAGTTTTAAAAATAATTTCAGAAAAACATAAGGTTTTTTTTACTAAAAAGTGTTTTTTTAATCAATTTTTTTATAATAAACAAAAACATGAAAGTTTTAAAAATAATTTCAGAAAATCATGAAACAACCAGAAAATTAATGATTTCTTTGAAAAGGACGTTTAATGACAGTTAAAACATTTTTTAAAATGGTTGAAATTTCCCAATCCGCCGAGGTTTCTTTTATTTTTCTTTAAGAAAAATAGCAAACAAGGATATGATTTCCTAAAAAACAATTGCGTAAGCTTACCAACCTCCATAAAGAGGAAGTTCGTGTATATTTACGCTGTCAAGAGTTTTTTTTTGGGTCAAAATCAGAGTTTTTAAACTTAATTTGATAGTAGATTCAATTGAAAACGCGGGTTAACTTCTAATTTTTTTTATGAATTAAAATAAAATCTGCTTTATTAAAAAAAATAATTAATAAATTATAATTCAGTTTTGATCGAGTTTTACATTTTAAATTTCAAGTCCTGAATTTCAAATTAACCCAGTTTAATTTTAAAATTATAATTATAATAAATTAAAAAAAAATAGAATTATAAATGAGCCGAGCCATTTATGCGCTGCTCGAAACTCTACTTGCAGAAACTTTTGTTAAAACATGATAAGGTTATGCAAACTTATTTTTAAAATTCATATATAAATGGCTTGAGCTGACTCATTAAAACTCATATATAAATTGGTTTGGTAAGGGTTGTGAGTCTTGCTTCCAAATTGTTAGAGGATTTCAGGGCTAAATTTTTTTGATTTTGTTAATTTAGTTGGAGAGTAAGAAAGGAATTAAGATGCAATAAAATATAAATTTAATTAATTAATGATTGATATATGTTATTAAATGTTATTTAACTTAATTTCAATGGTTGGAAGATATATCATAGAAATTTATATTAATGGAAAATAAATGAGGTATATTTTTTTTCATAATTGTCATAAATATGTCAAATTTAAAATCAAAGTGTACTCTTCAATCCTTAACTTTTCATCCATCCTTCTTTCCTCCCTTTTTGACAAATACAACCTAAAAAATTAGAATAAGATGTTCTGTCATTATTCTACAAGTGACTATTTGGTACTGTAATAGTTTTTGTTTTCAAAATTTGATTATCTGAGAATAAATTAAATTAATGTTTTATGTGTTTTTGTATGGTTTTGAATTTTGATATGCTAATACCATAATGATTAAAACAAGGAAAAAAAATCATTTTATCCCATAGAAAAGTGATGGTTCTTAGACTTCTGAACTCTTGCATGGAAAATGTGTACCTTGCTGATACAAGTCCTGTGCACTTTCCTGGGAGTCGCGCATTGATATCGGGCCGTTTTAGACGACAGCTTCGTTTTTATATAAATGGTGCATCTTCGACTCTAGAATCCACGTCGAACAAGCTACCCAAGGTTGAAGTATTAATACTGGTGTGCTCTACCGGCCTTCCTTGTCTCTTCTTTTCTATCAGGTCAAGGTTGAAGAGTCAATACTGATGAATTTATAAGGGAGATTAAAAGACGAGGTAAAACCCATGAAATTTCTTGGCTAATAATAACTGATGATCTCTTAATTATCGAACTGCAGTTGCATGCATGATGCCCCCTGAGTGCCTATATATATACATGTGTGTGTGGGCTACATATGTCCTTCAATTTGCTACCGCATCATCATCCTTGCAACGTCATTAGCTTTTTCTTTGTTTTCTTCGACACAACATTAGTGGGCATCTGATTCCTCATTTCATCAGGCTCCGATGGCAAAATATATGGCATTCTCATCATCAACGAGTTCATTGCCAATCATGAAGCAGACAAAACCAGATGCTGAAAGGACATTACTAAATGCTGTTGAGGATAGATATGGAGGAGTTAAGGTAGATGTGGAGGATCCCATGGACAGTAATGATTATGTTTCTCTGCTTAGAGCTTCGATAACACAATGGAGGAAGCAGGTAAATCAAGCTGAGGAAAACAGTTCGGGCAGCGATTACGCTACGCCGGGACCATGATTGTACTATTACAAAACAAAAGTTCTTGATTATTAGCAACATCATTAATTCTTTTTTTCTTATATATATTTTCTTTAGGGGAAAAAGGGTGTTTGGATCAAGTTACCTATTCAACTTGCCAATCTTGTTGAACCTACAGTTAAGGTAATTAAACACAAACTGGCAGTTGTGCAATGTCTCTAACTATAAATAATTGGAATAGGTTCATTGTCTAGATTTTCTACGTGGGAATGATATAGTTCGGACTCCTAAAATGCGCAGGAAGGATTTAGGTACCACCATGCAGAGTCAGATTACTTGATGTTAGTCTATTGGATTCCTGAGACTCCTGACACGCTTCCTGCAAATGCCTCCCATACTGCTGGTATTGGTGCCTTCGTCGTTAATGATAACAGAGAGGTAATTTTTCCATAATTCAGCCTTTTTTCTGTGGCCGTCGGGTAGTGCTGTGGCGGCGGTCTGGGAAGAAAATCCCAGCTTGAATTTCTTTATCTAATGGTAAACGTATACTTTGTGGTCAGTTACTAGCTATAAGAAAATTCAATCCTGAGATGCTAAGAAAGGTCAGTAAGGGGAGTAAAAAAGTGATTCCATGTACAATTAGGAGCTTTTCATTTTAATAAAAGCATTAGGATGGACTATATGTTGAGTTGGTGGGGGTCACGCAGAACCACATTAGTTGAATACCACTACTTAATTGTTCTGTTATTTGCAATAATTATATGTTGAAATTAATAAACTTTACATACAATGATTTAATTTAAAATATATAGTAGGCAACAAGTCATAGGTGCAGTTTTAGTAGTTTAAATATTATTGTTATATGATCAATTGTTCAGTGATTTCCCCATAGTAGTTTAAAATATTTTTTAAAATATAATTTATTTTATTTTCTTGATGTATTGACTTTAAATTATCAGTTTTTTTTTTAAATATTGTTGTATAACTTGATTTTATAATTTTATCTAGAAAAAATAATTAATTAAAAATTATAAAGGATCAAATAGTATATAATTCAACTTCCATACTATTATAAATTTTTTAATAGTTTTCTCTTTTTTTTAATTTGATATTAATGTCTTAATTTTAGACTTTTTTATCTTCATATATATATATATATGCGCGCTCGAAGCTGGGGAAACTTCAAGATTGCCGCCTGATCATTTTGATCCTAGACAGTTGACAGCTGTTCCCTTTATTTTTGTAGACAAAGTATATTAATTCTTCCACTGATATATTAAAACATGCAGCAAAGAGGTTTTGGATAGTTAGTACATGGACGATACAAATCTTACAGAAATGGGAAAGATTTCCATATCAAATTAAGATGGAACTCAAGCGAGTTTGAAAAATAACTAGTTATGAGAAAGATGGGTGCTGCGTGGTTTTTCTCCGTGTGTGTGTGTTTGTGCGTGTACACGCTGCATGCAATATGAGCTGAAATTCCTGGGTAACAATCTTTGATTTCGATCCCCATGAGAGGTCAAACGATGGTTCCACTTGGCTGCAGGTGCTGGTAGTTCAGGAGAAGAACGGGGCATTCAAAGGAAAAGATGTATGGAAGTTCCCTACGGGCGTCGCTAATCAAGTGAGTATCATAGGATCAGGAGAGCTGTGTTCATATTTGGTGAATGTTCTTTCCGCATGTAGTACTGTTGAATACTAAAGTTTCACGTTCGCAGGGCGAGGATATTTGTAAAGCTGCAATTCGAGAGGTGAAGGAAGAGACTGATGTAAGTTCAATTTCATGGTTTTAGGCAAAATTAAGAACCTGTGCTTATATATATCATTAGTTTTATGTCTTGATGCCTTCCAGCAAGTTTAATAATAATAATTCTGGCTTTGTTTTGGTTCAGATTGACACAGAATTTGTGGAAATTTTAGCATTCAGGTTTGAAGTTTTCCTTCCCCTTAAAGAAACATGAGACGAAAATTTCTTTGTAATATGATATATATATATATATATAAGGACAGTATATTAAGACTTTGAAAAAAAAAAAATCACCTATCTATGAGTATCATATAAAAAATATTTGCTACGAGGATGAATATCTTGGATTATTATATATTTTCAATTTAATCTTTAAATGACATTCTTTTTTATTAAGAGATTTTTCTTTTTTCATACATAGCCAAACCCACCAGACATTTTATGGGAAATCGGATTTATTTTTCGTTTGCATGCTACGGCCACTGTCCTCCGACATCAACAAACAAGCTTCAGAGATTGAGGCAGCTCAGGTACTTTTTAACTTTCAAAATTGCAGCTGACTTTTTTTTTTTTTTTTGTCCTCGTGTAGAAACACCGCATTGGGGATTATTAGTTGTTCTTGTCTATATGCATTTTTTTCCCCTTAAATTAAATTATCAGGTTAGGTTTTGTGAAGAAAATATTTAAAGGTATGTGATTTAAAATAATATTTTTAGGGAATTTAAGGGAATGCTTATATAAATTGATGACTATGGTGAATTCAAGAGTGTTTCTTAATTATTTGAAATATATAATTTTATTCAAGAGTATTTCCCCAAAAACATTCACATATATATATATGCTACCTATATGTTCATGGTATTTAATTTCTTTCCTTTTCAAGTGTTTTTACTTTCTTTTTCCTTACGTTTAGTTTTCTTAGGAAATTGTTTATAGTATTTCTTTTAAAAGTCTATTTTGTATCACATGTACTGCAGGTAGTTTACAATTATAATATATTGTTTTTTATATTACGTTTTTTTTAATTATACCACTATTGTATATCTTTAGTAAATTCAAATATAAAAGTTGAAGGTATAATATTTATTTCTTCGTGTTTCTAAAATCTTTTTTCTTAGAAAAACTAAATGGTTATTAGTAACTTGAGATGCTTTAAACTTTTTTCTCTTTCAAGAGTCATAGCAACTAGGAAGAGTAAAATCATACAATAATCACTCTTTAATTATTTTTTTTAAAGGATAAAAAATGCTGAAATTAATTCATTCCAGTAGCGAAAGCAGCCGCATAGGAAAAAAAACAAAAAAAAACATGAACTTATTTGGAAGAAAATCCTGAAAAAAATTATTGGTATTAGAAAAGTATCATAAAACTTATTAATTAATCATTGTTCTTTAAAATTGAACTTATCTATACTTAATTTCCTCGTAAAAATACTTAATTTTAATTTAGCCTCTGCTATGAATTTGAAATTGATAGCTGCGGGCATAATTTTATGTGAGAAGTAAACGTATATGTAGAGCTCCTGTTATAATTAGAATTGTGACTTTCGTGGTTTATTATGAATATAATAAAATTAATATTCTCTTGACCTTTGGTGAAGGTGTACAAGTTGAACGAATATTAGCATCGTAAACATTTAAAATTTATCAATAACAGCACACCAAGACGCTGTTAAACGGTTTTTTTATAAAAATTAAAAAATGTTTTTTATTAAAAAAATGTTAAACGGTTTTTTTATAAAAATTAAAATTGATTTTTTATTAAAATTGATTTTTTTTAATTTTGAATTGTTTTGATCTTATGATATTAAAAGTAATTTTTTAAAACAAAATTATTTAGAAGTATTTTTAAATAAAATTTAATTTAAAAAACAACCCTTATTATACTCGTAAATTTTATTTAATAATGCATGCTTTTATATATAATTGTGAATGTCACACACAAATGCTAGCTAGTCAATCAAAAAATATTTAATTATTTTGGACAAAATCAAATAGTCCTCCATGTTTCTGCACATTGTTTATTTGGCTCCCAATTGCTAGTCGTAATAATTTCGTTCATTTTTATTTATTTTTTTATGTAACTCAGTGGATGCCAATTGAGGAGTATATTGCCCAGCCTTTCAATCAGAAGCATGAGTCGTTCAAAAATGTTGCTAATATATGCTTGAGGAAGTCGAGGGGAAACTACACAGGATTTTCCGCAGTGCCCATGGCGTCATCGTCTGGTAAGAAGTCCAATTCCTACTTCAACAAACTTCAGCTTCAGAACGAAAGCACCAAGTAGGGGTTGAAAGGGTCAGTCCTTGCGCGCAAGCAAAGCCCTTCAGCCCTGCACGCAAAATACTCCACAAGCTTAAATGTATTCGGACGTCAAATATATAATTTACTAATTAAGTGTAACGTGTCATGTCACGGCGTTTCCTTTTATTTTTATAAAAAACATTATAAAAATTTAAGATTCAATAATATCAATTCTAGTTATAATATTAAACTCAAGAATATAAGCTGCAACGTGAGACTCGACAATAATATTTATAATATTAATAGTAATATAATAAGTTAAAACTTTTATTTTTTTAATTCTTCAAAAAAATAATTTTTAAAATTTATTAATAATTACAATAATAATAATAAACATAATAATTTTTAATTTTATACTTCAAATCAAATATATGGTTGTTTTTTAATATTGATAATATTTTTCAAATTTTATTAATTATTTATTAATAAGATTAATTATAATAATAATAATATATATGACATAAATAATAATATTTTTATATTAACACTTTTAATTATATTTATAATACAAATAATTATATTTAGAAACCTAAAACTCAAAAACTAAGTCCTGATGCAGGATCAGTTAGCTTTAAGTCCTGATACCAAACCCAAAAAAATTAGCATATGATGCAAAATCATTAACCATAGGTTCTGACACCAGACCCAAAAGTTGGGGTCCTAAAATTAGATCCATTAGTCTTGAGTCCTGGCACATGATCCAAAAAATTAGGTCTCGATGAAGAACCAATAGTCTTAGATTAAGTCGAGCTGCAAGACCTAATAAATTTGAGTTTGTGCACTAGCCACATCTAACCTTTCTGGGTGAGGCTCCCTTTTCTAGCGCTAAGTTTTTGGGTCTGGAAGTGAATGTCTCGCAACAAGTAGTAATAATAATAATTGATTATACCCTTCAATTCGATTATATGTTTTTTTATGTAGTATTTATTATAAATTTAATAATATTAATGAATATAACAATATTAAACTCGTCTGACCCAGTTTCGTATAATATTTGTAATACAAACAATACTATTTTTAATATTAATACTATTAATTATAATAAAAATAAAATTATTTATAAGACAAATAAAATTATTTTTAATATTAAAAAATTTAATTATAACAAAAATAATATTATTTATAGCACAAGTAATAATATTTTTCACATTAATACTTTTAATTATTATAAAAATAATAGTATTTACAACAAAAAAACCCAAGACTTAAGAACTTTAGGTCTTAATGCTGGACTCAAGAGAAATGGGTTATGATATTGGACACAAGAGAAATGGATCCCGACACTTGATCCAAAAAAATCAGATCCTGATGCAAGACCCAGTAGCCCTGAATAACCATGTTAGACCCTAGAGAATCAAATATTGATGCAGACCTAAGGCTAAGAGTCATAATGCAAAATTAAGGCTAAGAGTCATAATGCAAAATCAAAGAGAATAATAATAATAGAAATAAGAATGTTTATAAAATAGATAAGAATATTTTTATTTTATTAAATATTATGTTAATGCTATTAATTATAATAAAAATAATAATCTCTATAGCACAACTAAAAATATTTTTATATTCATACTTTTAATTATAATAAAAATCTTAGGTCTTAGGTTTTGACACCAAACCCCTCAGCTTTAGATCCTAATGCAAAGTCTAAGAGAATTAGGTCAAGATCTAGTGTTTTTTAGTTCCGTTATGCAAATGGATCCAAAGCTATTTTGAGTCTTGCCCCTAGTAGGACCTAACACATAATTTATTCATGTATTCAATAATACATATAATTTAAAACTATTGACTAGAAAATTTAAGGACAGTAAAACAATGATAAAACTTTGAATCTTACACATTGATATTATAAAATTAAAACATTTTCTATTACCCAAAATAATATTATATTATAATATTTATAAATTATTTTTTAATGGATTTAACTGTTAAAAAATTCTCTTATATAATACAGATATATAAAATATATGATGTGAATGCAAAATTTATTAGGAGCTCCATCAACTTTAATATAATAATATTAGAGGAAAAAATTAAAAAATTTCAAATTTTTTTCAAAGAATTTTTGAAACATAAAAACAAATATGCCTTAATAAGAAAATTCAACACAACCTTAAATGAAAAAAAAATATGATCACCCAACTTTTAAACAACACAAAAAAAAACTTTATTAATTTATTTTTTCTTTATTGCATGGAAAAAAATTATATAAGAAAAAAGAAAAAAATTAAAAAATAATTATTGATGGGTCCTGTTGGGAATAGGACCCAACACTAATGGGTCCTGTCAGGGATATGACCAACGATGAAGGGTGCTGCTTGGATATTGAAAAATTAAAAATAGCTTGGTGTTGTTGCCAAGCGCACTAACTGGCTATAACGCCATGCTCTGTTGTCGAGTTGCTGTTAGGCTTGCTAGTCTAGCCCTAGAATCCTCGCTTAAAATCGAACACTAGGTGTTTGCAGCCTAGATCGTACAGCCTCATCAAAATTTAAACTGATAATTTTCTTCCTAATCAAAAAGACAACCCCCATCTCTGCAGTATTTGCAACTCTATCTAACAAGAACAACTCTGTCATTACTCCTCCCTAATAAAAAACAAACCTAAACAGTGCAGTACATAGTGAAAGTATTTTTAATCTACAATAACTCACGTTATAGTACTGAATAATGCAATTTATAATAAAAACACTCACAGTCTATAATAACTCAATTTATAGTAAAATATTGATTCCTTTTAATTATAATTAATATACATATATATACATATATTTATGTATATATGTATTTATGTATACGTGAGTGATAAGTTTATCTACGTTACATGAAATTATCTCCTACCAATAAAAATCCAGGAGCGGCAAATAAAAAGGAAGTTTGTGTTCCTTCACTTGATCAGAATACTAATCAGTGTTTTAATAGAAATTTTTCAAGATATTTTTTATTTAAAAATATATTAAAATAATTTTTTATTATTTAAAATTTATTTTTAATATTAACACATTAAAAATAATAATAAAAATACAAGTTTCATAAAATATAAGTTTAACCACAGTCTGCAAGCACTGTATCTAGAGAATATTGAAATATTTACACTGTATTTAAGAGACAATTCTTATAGTGTCTTTTTTTCATCTTGAAGAAATACAGTTGATAGCAAGTAAGACACCCAAACTAATCCCTTATCTTTGTTGTCCCATCCAAAAAAGGGGTGAATACTGGGTCCAATTCATGCATTACAAGAACATACACTTTTCTAAAGTTGAGCTGATTGGTTTATCACTGAGCTGTTAAAAATATATCTATTAATTTTATTTTATTTTTATATTAACTATAAGTAAAACTGTTCTGTTTTACTATAACATGGAATATTATTTGCTATAAATAAATTTAGTGTGAATTACACTATTCTGCATTATAGTGCTGATACTATAAACTATGAATGCTTTTCATTGTAAATTCTATTGTTAATACGAATATGTAAAAAGGCTGCAGCTTGCAGGATTTAAGTGTCAGGTTAAAGGGGCGTTGGGTACACCCCTATGCACGCATGGTTATTAGGCTACCTGCTTGGGGGTTGGGCACATCCCAGCACACATGTGGCACTTGGGCTGTGCTGGGCAAGCCATGATCGCGTCCTATTGGGGACAAGTGGTGGTTGGGTCATGACTCCAGACTCAAAGGAAATGATTCAGGTGTCAGAACCCATAATCAATGAGTCTAGCATAAGGACCCAATCTTGTTGGGTCCTTTATTAAGACTCAATATTCATGTGTTTTAGGATTATAAATATTATTATTTTTATTATAATTAATATTATTAATAAAATAATAAATAAATTGTAAAGAAAATATTATTATTTATATTCTAAAATTTTATGGTATTTTTTATAAAAATAAAAAATGAGCCTGCGGTGTATTATTAAAAAATTCAACAATTCTAAGTATTAATATAAAAAATATTATAATTTACGTTGTTAATATTATTATTTTTTAAAAAAATATAAAGTATTCATCTCAAAGATATTATTATTTTTGTTATAATATTATTATTTTTATAACAATTCAAAGTTTTAATATAAAAATATTATTATTTGTGTTCTAGATATTCTAATTAAAAATAGTATTATTTATGTTATGAATATTATTATTTTACTATAATCAAAAGTTTAAATATTAAAAATATTATTTTTTTATAATAATCAATATTATAAATAAAATAATTACTAAATTAAAAAAAATTATTCTTAATATTTCAAACAACCAAATATTTGATTTGAAAAGTAAAATTAAAAATTACTATCAGTATTATTATTATTATCATTAAAAAATTTAAAGAATTGTTATTAATATCAAAGAAAAACCACACAGGGACATGTGGCTCTTGGGCTCCTGGCTGGGGGTCAGACATACCCTTTACACACACGTGACATTTGAGCTATGCCTTTGTGCTAAGTACATCCTACGGCACACATGGGGCTTGGAATCTTGCTTTAATTGTTGTCACACCTCTGCGCACACGTTGCATTGAGCTCTTGCCTCAGTGCTGGGCACATACCTTAAGCACAGGTAGTGCTTGGCGTGCTGCCTTAATGTTGAGGACTTCCCCGTGCACACGTGGTGCTTGACCTCCTGTCTCTGTACTAAACACACATCTGTGCACATGTGGCCTTTATATTGTCTACCCGAGAGTTGGACATACATTGGGACACACGTGGTGTTTGGACATGCCAAAACCTAACTATTTTTGGGCGCTGCATGCTACAGAGCTTAAAATAGTCTTGGGTCATTGGCTGTGCAAAGTCTAAAATAGATTTGGGCCATAATCAGGACCTGATTTTTTATGAAAATAAAAAGTGAGCCCTGAGCGTAGCGCGGGCCACTGATTAGTAATTATTTTATTTAAAACCATGTCTTATATATATATATATATATTTAGGTTATTTTTTTAGATTGTTTGTTTTTATGTTTTGAAAATAATTTTTAAAAATAATTAAAAAAAATTTTTTCTTTATTTTTTCTTTATCGTTTTAATATTTTAATGTTAAAAATAAATTTAAAAAATAATAAAATATTATTTTAATATATTTATAAATAAAAATTATTTTAAAAA